AGGGGTCCTCAAACTTTTTAAACAGGGGGCCAGTTCACTGTCCCTCAGACCGTTGGAGGGCCGGACTATAGTTTAAAAAAAAAACTATGAACAAATTCCTATGCACACTGCACATATCTTATTTTGAAGTACAAAAACAAAACGGGAACAAACACAGTATTTGTATTTGCATGTGGCCCACGGGCTGTAGTTTGAGGACCCCTGTTTTAAAGCATTTAGAAGCTCCCGCCACATTCTGGGGCTCCCATGACCTCATGCTCAGAAGGTCAATGTGGCGGGTTTTCCCCTGCAGCTGGCGGGGGTCCTGGTGCTGGCCGCCCACGCCCACCTGCGTGGGATTCCGCTCCTTACCGTGGCTCCTCCATCGGGCACCTTCGCAGACGCCTCCCACCGTTTTCCAGGAAGCAGCCAAAGAGACACGTTCCCAGGCCTCTCCAAGGCGGAGGGGCGGGCCACGGCTGGGCGCTGCACAGCCCTCCTGGCAGCAGTGACCACTCTGTGGGTAGGAATGGTACGTGCCCAGCCTGGACTCTGAGGGCAGGGTTAGCAGACGTTTCATCCTCTGCCGGCCAAATGTCACGGTCATGACTCCCGAGGCCCATCTCTCCTGCGTGGGGCAGGGCTGAACCTGGTCCAGTCGGCTAGACAGTTTCAACAAGATGACCAATCACTCCAGGATGCTGCCTCTTCCAGGAAGCCTCCCAACCTGAGCCACACCCCTTCTCTCCCACCTGATTTCAGGCAGAATCTCACTGTGGCCGTGCAAGCTGCCCCTTGTCCTGTTACTTCGATCTTCCCATCTCCTGGAGTATCTCCCATCAGCCAGCTGTGCAGAACATGTTCTCTGGACTCTACATGTACACACACATACACACACATGTGCGCACACACATGCCTGCACACACACAGCCTCTGGCTTAAACTCCTTCAATGGTTTCCCGTGACCTTCCCTGCCGCCCCTACTTGGGGCTGACGACTTACAAGTAAAAATACAGGACATCAGCTGATAGTCCCATCTCAGTAAACAATGCTTCCTTAGCAGTCCTCTGTCCCTGCAGTGGCTCAGCTCGCCTGTACTAACCATTTCTCATTGCTCACCTGAAAGGAAGATGTAGGTAGGCCTCCTGCTATCGCCACCCTGCCCCGCCCGCCCTGCCCCTCCCACCCTCTGCCTGCTCTGGCACCCTGGTCTGCGGGTTCTCAGCCGGGCCCTCCCTAGTTCCTCCCCAGGTTTGCTGTCTCCTTTCCCAGCGGTGGGGCCGAGCACCCTGATTTTCAGAAACTTCTCCAGGTGTTCCTATGAAGACAGTGCCGGGAACCTGCTCTGTGTCCCACCAGGCACAGTGCCCCTGGGAGCCCGATGGCACGTGGGCCACGCGCCTCACCTCACCGCCTCCCTGTAGCCCCGCCCCTCCACCCACCATGTGTAAAACCTGAGTCTCAGAAGACAGCGTTCAGTGTGGGGTCACCCTAGGACAGGGGTGGGCAAACTTTTTGACTCGAGGGCCACAATGGGTTCTTAAACTGGACCGGAGGGCCGGAACAAAAGCGTGGATGGAGTGTTTGTGTGAACTAATATAAATTCAAAGTAAACATCATTACATAAAAGGGTACGGTCTTTTTTTTTTTAGTTTTATTCATTTCAAACGGGCCGGATCCGGCCTGCAGGCCGTAGTTTGCCCACGGCTGCCCTAGGAGCTTCCCTGGCTACACCAACCCAGACCCCTAGCTGCCCGCCCGACCCCCACAGCTGCATGTGGACACCATGGTGACAGGTTCACATGTGCCTATGTCCCTCACACCTTGAGACACTCCAAGGGCTGTGTCGTGGGGAGAGGGGGGGGGCAGTCTTGGGGAGGGTTTTGTGTGTGGGAAGTTGCCCAGCAACACACGGAAAGTCTGCAGGTCAGAGAGCTCCCAAGGGCAGCAGCACTGGGGCTTATACCTGCAGGGCCCTGTCTTCCAGGGGCGACAGCTGTCTGTGAGGTTCTGTGGGACACAAAGCAGCCCCCAAGGGCTAAAACGCTGCTGTCTGTGCTCTTTACACGATCCAAATTGCACGCCAGCTTCTGAGCTAGCAGGTCTCAGCCTGCAGCGAGAAACAAAGCACCCGGGACCAATTTGCAGGGACCTTCGCTGGCTGGTTTGTGTAACAAGGGCAAGCTGTGTCCTTCTGCCGGGCCCTTTCTGCCTCCAGGCGGGAGCTCGCGGTGGGGCGGGGTCACGCACAGCCCGTGGGGCCCGCTAGGGGGAGCCAAAACGCAGGCGCGGATCTTGCCTGTGGAAACTCAGGTCCAGTTCAGAATCTTGCTGCAATTTAGCTCAGTTCATGAGAGAGAGCTGCCTGACTTTTTTGCTACGCAACTGCTGCCTTATGGACAGGAAATAAAATATCAGATATGATCTCCATTTACAGTTGAGCAAATTCACAAAGCTATTTTTTGCTTAATAACATGAAGTTTGTCTTTATTTTTTCCTTTTTTCCAGCTCAGAGGTTCCCTCATGGCTTTTGTTCCCAAACGAAAATCTTTTCAAAGCCAATCTCTTGTGAGACTTGGAGACGTGATGGCCTACGTGTGGGGGGCGGCCTGCTCTGCGCTGGGGCTGGAGAGGCGGCCGCCGGAGGAGGCTGAGCCGGCCATGAGCCACGTAAGCTCCGGGCTTGCATCAGTGAGCCCGTCCAAGGCGACGGTTTCGATGCAGAAGTTTGCTTTTAGTATCAAAGCGAGACTGTGATTCTGCACCAATATCCCTGCAAAGCCACAGGCCTTTACTGACAGTTCTAAAGGCATCACCGTTCACAAGCCCAGGCTCCCCCACTAACTCCTCTATCCTCGAATGACCCTGCAGGGTCGGCAAGGGAGGCGTTGGGATTCTCCCCATCGCACACGCCCTATTCTGTCCTTTTAGCCACTGAGTGTCGGCCCCCCGACCCGAGTCAAACAGAACAAGCAGGTGTGTGCACACTGGGCCCAGCTTCAGCGAGGGCTGGCGTTCCGGCACCGCCCAGGGCAGCTCTGAGCCAGCCGCACGCTGGTGGCAGTGGGCGTGCGTGGGCTTCGCTGCTTGTCGCACTTTCCGTAGATGACTGCCTCCAAGTCCACTTCACAGTCCTTCATGCAGGTGTCTGAGCCTTAGCACTTAGATCCATGGTTCTCAACTTGGCTGCACATTAGAATCACCTGGGAATCTTTTTAAAATCCTGACTTCTGGGCCTCATCCTCTGGTAATTCTGTTTCTTTGTTGTGGGGTGGGGCCACAACATTAGTACATAACAAAGAAACAGAATTTCCGGAGGATGGGGCCCAGAAATCGGGATTTTAAAAAGATTCCCAGGTGATTCTAATGTGCAGCCAAGGTTGAGAACCACTGGCCTAGATGCACACCTGTGTGATGTGCTGAATGAGGGACAGGTGTGCACGCTTTGTACAACGTGAGGGTCTGTGCACGCCTATGTATGACGCAGTGCGTGAGGGCACGGAGATGTGGGTCCCTTGCGCTCCCTAACACAGCACATGCCACCTAAGGTCAGCGCCATGAAAGGCTTCAGAGAATGAGGGGGATTAGGCTCCTGGAGGCCGTACTAGTCTCTTTTCCTCCCTCCAGAACCCCTCCCTGGATGAGTTTGCAGACCTGCTGGATGAACTGCTGCTGAAGATCGACAGTCTAAAAAACCCCGCCCGCCTCCCCGTCCCTCTCCCAGCGCAGCCGCCCCGGGACGCGCCGCAGGCTGGGGCCGGGGCAGAAGGCAGCCCCTCGCTGGGGGCATCTGATGACCAGGCTGCGGGGGTAAGCACGTGAAAAGGGGTGTATCCGTTCTCTTCACTGTGTGAGCCTCAGAGGAAGTGGGAGGTAGTCGCCGTTCCACACCCCGTGTGCCTGCCTGTCCCGGGAGCGTGGGTGACAGCCGTGGCGAGAGGCGCTCCGGCGGGAACTGAGGGTCGGTGTAACATGTGCGATGGGACTTCCAGCTCCACGTGGGGACAGGAATGTCTGACTAAAGCTGGAATCCGCAAGGAGACTGAGGACAGAGTGGGCTCCATTCGGAGGGCCCGAGAAATAGCTGTGACCCAGAACATGAGCAGGATCCACTGGCGGCCCAGCAGTGAAAATTAGGCCCGAGGCAGAGAGGACACGTCCAGGGGTGCACAGAGGGCCCACAGAGACCCTGGTCTGGAAGAAAAGGTACTAGAACGAAGAAGAGTGGACGGAACCTGCCTGGACCCCACACCACAGAGCTTGGGACCAGGCTTGAAGGAAAGCCATCTTTGTCCACAGCTGCTGATGTGGCAGCCGGGGGAGGGGCTGTCGGTGGCTCACACCTGGAGCCATACAGCAGGTGCACATGGACAGGAAGGGAGCTGGGCCCCGTGCCGACACCTCCCAGTGGTGGCTTCCCCGGGATCCAGAGTTGCGGCCAAGAGTTGTCATGGCACACGTCTGGTGGCTGTGAGTGTCTCCCCGGGAACCGCCTGCTCTCAGACGCTTCTAGCCTCTCCTGGGAAGGGCTCCCTCATGCAGAGCGGGGGCCCTGGGGGAGAAGTGGCCGTCGGAGGGACGCATGTCGTCGCCAGGCCTGTGCGAACGCGCTGCAGGGAAGGGTCATCACCAGCTGCCACGGAGAAGGATGCGAAGGTCAGACCGCGGACAGGTCGGCTGGGACCTGGTGGTCTCCACACCAAGTGAGCTCGTGGGAAAAGCCCGGATGAAAGAGCTAAGCGATGTACCAAGGCGAACGAGAGACTGGGAGTTGAGGTCAGAAATGGGGAAGAAAAGGTGAAGTGACAAAGAGTCACAGATTCACAGGAGAGGCGGGGTGTGGATGGCAGCTCGAGGAGAGTCGGGAAGACAGAGGAGAGAGGAGTGAAACCCGACTGTGGGCGGTAACCACGTGGAGGTCAGCCAGGACACGCGTGGCCAGTGTCCCCCTCAGAGGCCGGAACAGGGAACAGGGAAGTATTGGAAGATATCATTTAAGAGAAGTTCCTGGATTAAAGACATAGATCCATATATTTAAAAATAAATCGTATCCAGGAAAGAAATGGATTCACATCTATTAAAAGCAGAACAAGCCCCGTAGGTGATGGATGAAGACACAGAGGTGGTCCTGCTGGCACCCGATACCTCCTGGTCCCCAACAGCCTCCTCCGAGTGAGTGAAAACTATCCGGTCATTTCCAAGCTACTTATTAATGATCATGACATCGTGAAAAACTTTACACGTGCATGTCAGTAGAAACCTGAGCAAAACACAGTTTTATAGACTAGGTCATATAATGAGAACTGGGAAAGAGTGGAAAGAAAGAGGAGAGGGGACCACTTATGTTTGTAACATGAAAACGGTGAACTGGAAACATTAGCAGATGAGCAGGCACGTATCTTCATACCATACGGTTCACACTGGCATTTCTGGCGTATGTTATGGGGCAACAACCAATGACAGTAAACTATGTATGTACTCAACTCAAGCAGGCAGGAAAAATGCACACACGCACATGTGCATCACACACATGCACACACCTGCACCCACACGTGCCTGCACATGCAAACTAAGAGCACAAAGAAGGAATTTGCAAAGCTGAGTGTATAATTTAATTCAATCAACAGCAAAGACCATTAACCCAAGCGATGACCCTATGAACCAGTAAAAGTGAGTACAATAAAGGAATGAAATACGAGTGAGAAAGGGAAGATAACCTGAAGGAAACGGGATGAATTCGGAGCATTTGGGAAGAGAACAGTATCGAGACTCCCGTGTACCAGACGTGGATCCGCTGTGCACAGGGTCTCAAGAGCTAACCCCCGAGAGCCCCCTCGCCCAGGACGCCCCATGAAACACACCAGATTCCTGGGAACGCGGGCGTGCCCCCTGTCAGGCAGTTCCAGAGCTCAGGGGCGGAGAAAAGCTTCCAGAGGCGTTTCTGTGAAATAAAGCAGCACACGGATGTCAGAACCGGACAGAATCCCAGATGTGAAAAGACAGAGCCACAGGCCAGTCCTTGGGTTTACTGCCGAGGCGTCCACACCCCACACCGACAGCCCGCACAGGCTGAGGGCCACACGCCTCGCATGAGGTCGAGTCCGGAGCAGACACGGCTCCTCCCAGGAAACACGGGAGTAGCCTTCACCCCAGTGAGGGGACAGTCTGCTGTCCTCCCGGCCTGCACCTGAGTATTTCAACGTCTAATTTCTGACACACATCGTCGTATCACTTCTCAGCCTTTTGGCTAAGGTCAATGTAAAGCATTTCATAATCAGAAAGGAAAAAAGAAAGGAAGGAGCTGATAACATTAAAACAGGAATCCGCCTCGAGTTCAAAGCCGAGCTGTGCCGGACGCTGCCACCTGCAGGCCCTGCCCTCCGCACTCGGGAAGGAGACCTTGTCAGCTCCAGCCCCTCAGCACACTCTGGGCGGATCCCCTCTCCTGTGAGCACTTCTGCTGCAGGTACACGGGGGGCAGTCGGCTACGTGCGCAGCTCAGGCCCCTGCAGGTCCCGGCCGTCACAGCCTGTGGTCGCGGAGACTCATGGCGAGGCCTGGGAGACGCTCAGGTGCCCATGTGGCTGCAGCTGGCACCTCCACCACCACCTGCTCTCCGTGAGGGGGGGGGGGGGGGGGGGGCCGCCTGGGGGGGGGGGGGGGGGGGGGCGCAGGACAACCTGTAACCCGCATCCTCTTCCCGGGAAACACGGTCTTCAGGCGGCTGCTCTGAGGCCTCGGGCCGGGTTCCCACAGAAGCAGCACCGCCAGCCAGGCCGGGCCTCACCTGCAGCAGGTGCGCAGGGCGTGGGGCCCCAGGTGGTGTCGCTGGCATCACAGTGGCTGGACTCAGGACAGGCGCCTTTGTGTGCCGTGGTCTCAGGAAACCGCATCCTCTTCCCGGGAAACACGGTCTTCAGGCGGCTGCTCTGAGGCCTCGGGCCGGGTTCCCACAGAAGCAGCACCGCCAGCCAGGCCGGGCCTCACCTGCAGCAGGTGCGCAGGGCGTGGGGCCCCAGGTGGTGTCGCTGGCATCACAGTGGCTGGACTCAGGACAGGCGCCTTTGTGTGCCGTGGTCTCAGGAAACAGCCCCATGTGAGTTTCTAACTTCGGGGCATTGCTTCTCACCTGAGCCACTCACAGTGAAGATGGCATCTTTGTGGGAGGGTGAGGACCAGACCCTGCGGCTGCACATCACCACCTGCGTCCCATTGTTCCCTGGGTTCCCGTGACTCATGCAGCGAAAGGCCAGCTGCCAGCCTCTCCCAGGGTTTCCTGGGCTCTCCTCCGCCTCCTCCTCCTCTCCCGGCCCCAGTTCCCACAGAGAGGAGCTGCACGCAGTGGCCTTCTACCGGGCAAAGGGACTACCCTGGGTGGCCCCCTCCCCAACACCGGAGCCCACCTTTGCCAGGGCTGCAGGTCTCAAAGAGCACCCGTGCACGTTGGCAGTGCCAGGTGGGGTTTCCACATTGTTCCTCCTGACTCGCTCTGATAATGCACAGAGAGGTCAAGTAATTTGTCCCAGGTCACACAGCTGTGCGGGGTGGGGGGGGAGTCTCCCACCTGAGTGTGCGCGTGCCCCCACGTCTTCTGCCCCACGGTCTCCATGCCTGAGTGCCCACGGGGCCTCCCCCCGATGGCAGGGGCACTGATTGCACTTCCTTCTACCGCTCATGCAGGTTGATGTGGGATCTGTTTCCTTTCAGCCCTCAGGCATCGAGAAACCGCTGCGGCCTGGGCTGTGCTGAGGTGCTTACAACACGGGTCTCCTTCACACACGAGGAACGCCAGGCCCCCAGAGGTGCCACTGGGCCAGCTCCCACGCGCAGTGAGAAGCCACGTGGAACCAGGTTTATGTGTCAGACTTGTCCATCCGGGTTGGAGGCGGGGTGGGACCCACCTCGGCTCTTTCCCGGGCTCCTCTGCCAGGCGCCTGGAGCTGCGAGTGGGAGACTCGTTTGCACGTCTGCCTAACTGACTCTCTCGGTATCAAAGGCTAAAATCTTATTTTGCGGAATTTCTATTCTGTCTATTGAGTCTGATCGTGCAAGTTATCTCAGAAATCTAATAAATGCAACGAAACGGGCCAGGATGGAAGTCAGATCGTTAAATAAGATTTTGAAATGAAGTCCTCGTTTTGTAAAGTTAACAATTGAATCCTGCAGACTAATAGCTCTCATTTCTCCTGATTCCCTAATTCAACATGAAATGGTTATGCAGACGGACACTTCGAGTTTGGCTGGGCTGATGTTTGAAACTTTAAAGACCTGCAGGCTCAGATCAGAATTTGCTAAGCTGGTTATTGAATTTGGAGCATTCGCTCCTACTTTTGGATTCAAAATAGGTTCAAAATGCCTGTTTGGAGTGTGGGAGAAGGGGCGTGAGAGCAGGCGGCTGTGGACACGACTCCGGAGTCTTGGGGTGTGGGCTGCGATGGGGCAGGGGTGGGCCAGGCCCCTGGGAGGGTCAGGGGTCTCCGGATCAGGCAGACCCCGGGCAAGGTGCCTGCCCGCCTAGAGCAGAGTCCAGTGGAGCCTGCGGGCGGTTCCACCAGAATCGGGATGGTCCACGTGGGTGCGTGGCGCGGGGCCTGGCAGCCAGCGGGCCTGCTCAGAGCATGCACTTCAGTCTCCGTGCACACTGCTGCCTCTGGGAACACGGCGGTCTCCTCTGCGAGGGGAGTCGAGTGCGTGGTTGGCAGGCTGGGATCGGGCCCCATTTTACAGCTCTGAGCTGTGACAGGGCGTCCAGACGGGAGATCCCTGCTTGAGTCGTATGGCCTATGGCTCGCACCATGCCTGTTGGGCACCAGAGAGCACCTGCCTCCCCCAGCAAAGTCACAAGATGCGGAGAATGCATCCTCACTGCGGTTGTTGTTTCGTCCCAGGGGCTCTGGAGTGGCTGGCTGTTCTCGCGATTCCTTCATCCAGAAGCAGTCATTGAGCGCCGTGTTCCAGGGCATCTGTCCTGGCAGGGGAGGTGGCAGGAGGCCAGGCTGCCCCTGGGCCGGGGTCCGTGTGCTGCAGGCCTGGGTCTCGCTGTGGGCGCCTCTCTAGTCCGTTTGCAGTCACTGTTGGTGACGGTGTGGGCCGAGGTGCGTGTCCGGTCTGTCCAACAGTTTGTGAGGAGACTGTTCTCTCGCTGTGAGTTCCCGCCCAGGGCCCTTGTCAAAGCCAGGTGACAGTAGGCGTGTGGCCTTTTCCTGGCTCTGTTCTGTCCCATCGTCTCTGTCTGTTTTCATGCCAGGACCATACTGTTTTGAGGACTATAGCTTTGCAATGTAGTGTGACATAAGGAAGTGTTTTGTGTATGTTTTATCTCAGATTGCTTTGGCTCTTCAGGGTCTTCTGTGGTTCCATACTCATTTTAGGATTGTTTATTGTTGCTGTGAAAAAAGATGCCATTGGCCTTTGGGTAGAGATGGTATTAAACGTGTGGATCCCTTTGTGCACTGAGGACGTGCCCACAGTGTCAGTTCTCCAATCCGAGAACCGGGGCATGTTTCCATTCAGCTGTGTCCTCGTCAGTTTCTTTCTCCAGTGTCTTATGGTTTTCAGCGTACGGGCCTTTCACCTCCTTTGTTAAACTTATTCCTGAGTATTTTACCTTTCTTGACGCTATTGCAAGTGGAATTCTTTTCTTAATTTCTTTTCATATTTAAAACTTTAAAAACTTCATCTGTATAAACAAAGTGACAAGAAAGCTCAGAGTGAGGAGAGAGATTGTTAACACGTAACACGTGGACCTGACAAAGAATCGTATACAGGACGTGAGAGCACGCCTCCACTTCAACACGCAAAGCCAGATTCATCAGACAGGCCAAGCGTGACAAGGCAAAGGAAGGAAGAGGAGCTGACTGGTTGATATGCAAATGGGAGCGGCCCAAACCATCAGCCATCGAGGAAACAGGAAAATGACCCTCATTGTCATCCCCTGCCACCAGCTCAGCACAAGTTCAAGTGTGAGGGCGCAGGAGGTGAAGCCAGCAAACCCTCACGCTGCTGGGGCACCGCAGGTTCCTGCCAACGCGCTGAGAAACGCCTGTAGACACGCTGCCTTCTGTAAGGCCTCCTGTACGCCCTGCGGGAGCGGGAGGTGCTGTCCTCTGTAATCCCCCTCGGGGCGCTGGACACAGCCCCCTGGGCCTCGCCATCTCCCCAGGCCTGGCTGTGCCAGGCTCCAAAGCCTCTCCCAGGCCTGTCCCAGGACCAAGTCTGGGCCTGTGTCCGGGGCCTGTGTCTGGCCACTGAGCCCTGCAGGCTCCGATCTGACTGGGGAGAGAAGGGGAGGCCGGGTGAGAGTGCTCCTGCCTCTGGGGAGAGGGTGAAGGAGTCATCTGTCTCCGCTGTAAACACCAGAGCAGTGATCAGAGGGCCGCGGGCCTGGCCTTCCTCACCTGCAGGGAAGAGAGTGCACATGGGCTCAGGTTTACTCTCCGGCCTCGCTGCCAGGGAGACTCAGGGAGACACACCTTGTTTCTGTTGGGGTCAGAGGTCACAGGGCTGCTCCAGGCCACACAAGGAGAGGCTGTTTCCATGGGATGCCTTCCACCTGTGTCAGCACCCAAAGCCGAGGGGCCCCTGCAGTCATCCTGCCTCTCAGGACAGAGGACAGGCAGGGGGCGGGTGCCTGTGCCCTCTGTCCACACTCTGCCGGCCCAGGGCTGGGACTTCAGCACCAGGATTTGAGGGACACAGTTCAGCCCAGAATAATTGCAGATTGCTCTTTAGAGACGAAGGCAGTGCCCTCACAGCTGTGCACCGGGGCAGCGCCTGCCTCGCCCTGGCACTGGGCGCTGTGTCTCTTTAGAACTCTCATTGCTGGGGCTTCCACGCGGGGGACTCCCTCTTCAGTAACCCAGCGCGGAGCGGGCTGTGGGCCTGTCACAAACAGTACTTCCCCTGCGGCAGGACCCGACAGGGCGCCATCGAGGGGCGGGCGGGGCCAGAAGCTCAGCCAGGAGGACTGGGTCCCCGCAGGCTGCGGGTCCCTCCCCACGGAAGCTCCTTCCAGAAGTGAAGCCCAGCCCGGCGCTTTCTCATCGGCGTCCCCAGCCTGAGGCCCCGTCATCTCAGAGGAACAGCAGAGACAGTTGCCCTGGGAGGATGCTGAGGGCTTGAGGGACAGCTCTCAGGGGCGGCTGAGGACCCCGCCCCCCTCCAGGACCCGGTTCCGCCTGAGGAGCAAGCTGGCCACATGTTCCTCAGCGCAGATGCCCCACCGGGCTGGTCCCGCGGATGCCGGCGTCTGCGTGGAAGGCAGGCCTGTGCCGTCTCGGTGCTGGGTCCGTGGGTCAGAATCGAATCACAGGGAGAGTGCAGGGACCCAAATTCAATCACCGGTCATGTTCCTCATTCAACCGCTTCCTCCCGTCCTGGGTAAATTCAATTTCCCTCCTTCTAATGAAGCTCCCGGGAAATCGAATCTCGGCCTCATTTCCATCCCAGGGATTAAGCTGTGATGGACGAGCACAGAGGACCTGGTTTGTGGAAGGGGCCGAAGTGAGCGAACGGCGGGGCTGGCCTTTCTGACTGTCCCGGTGACGGGGGCCCCACTCCCCCTGACGTCACATCGGCTGTGACCCCATGGACCAGGCTCGAAAGAACACCAAGCATCCTTCCATTTTCTCAGAAACACAGGACAGCTGGAGCCCATTCATAGCCGCCGTGCGTCTGTTCCCAGAGGCCAAGGGGGCTGTTCATAGACTCTGTCCTAGAGTGACTGTCCGCACGAGGCAGGCGCGTCAGATCAGCCGCTTACCGTTTGGGAACGGGCGTCTGAGTTCACCGGCACTGCCCCCTGCGTGTGGTCCTGGCCACGGATGGTGGGGGGCAGGGGGCAGGATTGGAGCCCAGGAGCTGGGTTTGTTTGTCTTCTTAAATTCTCAACAGAATTAACCAGCTCTTACATTCGTTACTCTCTTTTAAATTTTTAAAAATAAATTTATATCCCCTGCACTCATTTATTTTATCCCCCAACTCCTTCCTCTGCAACCATCAATCTGTTCTCTGTATCTGTGAGCTTGGGTTGTGTTTTTGTTTGTTTGGTTTTTTAAAAGATTCCACATATAAGAATCTTTTTCACTTAATATAATGCCCTTGAGGTCCATTCAAGTTGTCACAAATGGCAAGATTTCATTCCTTCTTATGGCTGGATAGTATTCCAGTGTGTGTGTGTGTGTGTGTGTGTGTGTGTGTCGCATTTCCTGTACCCTTCCTCCGTCCATGGACACTGAGGTTGCTTCCCTATCTTGGCTAGTGTCAGTAATGCTGCAGTGAACATGGCAGTGCAGATCCCTTTTCCAGTTAGTGATTTCATTTCCTCAGATAAATACCCCAAAGTGGAATTGCTGGGTCATGTGCTCGTTCTCTTATGTTGTTGAGGAACCTCCGTACTGTTTTCCATCGTGGCTGCACCAGTTCACATCCCACCTCAGGCTCCCTTCCCCGTCCTCACCAGCACTTACTGTTTCTTGTGGCAGCAGCCGTCCTGACAGGTGAGGGACAGCTCTTGTTCTGACTTGCATTTCCCTGATGATCCGTGATGTTGAGCATCTTCTCATACCCGATGGCGATCTGTGTGTCTTCTCTGGAAAAGCGTCTATTCCCATCTTCTTCCCATTTTTAAGGGAACACTTGGACTTTCGTTTGTTGGGAGGTTTTTGATTACTGACCCAATCTCCTTACCAGTCACCGGGCTATTCAGATTTCTGCTTAATCCTGATTTGGTCTTGATAGGTTCATGTTTATAGGAATTTAATAATTTCTTCCAGGTTGTCCAGTTTGTTGGCATATCATGGTTCATCATAGTCTCTTATACTCCTTTGTATTTCTGTGATATTTTATAACATCGCCTCTTTCATTTCTGATTTTATTTGAGTCCAATATCTTTTTTCTTGTTGAGTCTCACTATGGGTTTGTCCATTTTGTTTATCTTTTCAAAGAACCAGCTCTTAGCTCTTTTCCTCTTCTCTGTTGCCTTTTAAGTCTGTATTTCATTGATTTCTTCTCTGATCTTTATTATTTCCTTCCTTCTACTGATTTTGGGCTTTATTTTTTCTTCCTTTTCTAGCTCCTTGAGGTGCAACGCTGGGTTGTCTGAGTCTTGTTTCTGTGTCGACGTTTATCTCTATGATCTTA